GTTTCCACATCTCTGTATGTATTAGAGCTATGTATATATCTAAGCGTTTCTATATCTCTGTATGTATTAGAGCTATGTATATATCTAAGCATTTCTATATCTATATGTAGCTCTGTATCTCCAGATGCATATAGAGATATAGATATCATAGGCATATGGTCTGGGAAGGTGGCTCAGTGGTAGAGCACTTGCCTTGCATGCCTGAAGCCCTGGGTTCGATTCCTCAGCACCACATTAGCAAAAAAGAAAAAGCTGGAAGTGGCGCCGTGACTCAAGTGGTAGAGCGCTAGCCTTGAGCTGAAGAGCTGAGGGACAGCGCCCAGGCCCAGAGTTCAAGCCCACGACTGGACCAAAAAAAAAAAAAAGATATGATAGGCATAACAGCCAATACCTATTTAAATGTTGGAAGTAAAAATCATTTGAAAAGTAGATTTTTTTTTTAAAGGCAAAATGGCCAGGCCTCGTGGCTCCCGCCCGTCATCCCAGCTACTCAGGAAGCTGAAATAGGAGGATCACGGTTCAAAGCCAGCTCCCGGCAGGAAAGCCCACGAGACTCTTCCCTCCAATGGGCCATCAGAAAACCAGAGGTGGCACTGTGGCTCAAGTAGTAGAGCGCCAGCCTTGAGCAAAAGAAGCTCAAGGACAGGGCCCTGGGTTCAAGCCCCAGGACCTGCACAAAACAATAACAACAACAAAAGTAACCTTTCACTCCTGTCAGTTCTTCTACTGAAACTTAGAAAACGTCCTTCAGTCAGGCATGTTGACTCACGCCTGTCACCCAGCTAGTCAGAGGCGGAGAGCTGAGGATCGCAGTTCAAAGCCAGCCTGGGCAGGAAAGGTGGTGAGACTCTGATCTCCAATGAACCACCAGAAAACTGGAAGTGGTGCTGTGGCTCAAGTGGTAGAGCGCCGGCCTTGAGCAAGAAGAAGGGGCTGGGCAGGTGGTTCAGTGGTAGAGCGCTTGCCTTGCATGCCTGAGGCCCTGGGTTCGATTCCTCAGCACCACATAAGCAAAAAGAAAAAAGCTGGAAGTGGCGCTGTG